AGAGAGAGGCAGGTGTGTTTACATCGGATGGCCGCCAAGCGAAGGAACGACATCCACTCAAAAAAAATCACTTGCTCAATTTATCACTTGAGATGGATGCCATGCCAACAATATATTTACTGTCGACTACCGAGAGGCGCCTCTGCCGCATCATCACCCTAGGCCTTCCAGTATGCTAACCAATGCACATTCACTCTTCACTGTCAATGAAATAATAGGAACAGTGCAACAGAAACGAAAAATACTTCGCAAACAATTCCTCACGTTTTTAAAATCTAAGGAAATCATAACCATTGCGCTGTTTAGATATCTGATTTTAATTAGCGTAGATCTTTACGATTTTATTTCTCCCTTTTCTCTTTAGGTTTATTTTCGCAATTGAGAAGATGTATCAAGCACTCAAGACCGTATTTTACCACATTTCCAAACTTTACACCTCAAAGCTTGTCAAACTGATATACACCGCTAAGTGTAATATTTTCAACGGTTCTCTTCTCGATGTTTAGAAATATGGTCAAACATGCACGGTCTTTCTTGTTTGATGTAATATATCAAACACGAAAGACCGTGTTTGAGCACATTTGCAAACACCGAAAAAAGAATTCAAAATACGACGCGCAGCGGAGTATTTTTGACGAACTTCGAGTTGTTTGGAAATGTGGTAAAACACTGTCTTTCGTTTTTGATATATCTTCTCAATCGAGACTAAAACTAAGGAAAAAAAGGAGAAATATAATCGTTAAAATCTATGCTAGTTAAGCAGTCAGATATCCAAACACCTTCACGGTCATGATTTCCTTTGTTTAAACTTAATGAATTATTAATGAGTTTGAGAAATATTACATCCTATGAGTGAGAGTCTTTTGCATTATATCAGGATAAGATTTACAAAAGCAAGGACTTTCCATGCCTGGTCAAGTGGTCTCGCTGTTCGCTCTAATTAACAGGCCTTGACCTCTTGGGCTGCAAGGCGCGCGCTTTGGAATCTTGTACACTACAATTGTCTTGCTAGCGAGCTAGTGTGCTTTAATTTGGCAGTGG